CGGGCCCGCAGCGCCCGATGTCGGAGTAGCTGGCCACCACGGCCAGGAAAGGCAGCAGGAAGCCGGTGAGGGCCTCGAAGAGCAGGTGGAAGGCCCGGTGTCTTTCCGTGTCGTATTTCGGGAAGCAGAGCAGGCTCCTGTTGTTCGGGTCCTGTGCCACGGTGCGGTATACGATGACGGGCGTGGCCAGCAGGACTGACGCCGCCCAGATGATTGCCAGCAGCCACCTGGCCACCGCCTTGGTGCGCAGCTTCTGGGACACAAAGGGGCGGGCCACCGCCAGCGAGCGGTCCAGACTCATGGCCGTGATCAGCAGGACGCTGGCGTACATGCTGACTCCGCAGATATAGTGGAACAGGCGGCAGCCGGCCACTCCAAAAATCCAGGTGCCTCGGGCCACGAAGTGGAGGAAAAAGGGGGCAGTGAGCAAGACGGCCAGGTCAGCCAGGGCCAAGTTCAGCACCAGCAGGGCGGTGACAGAGCGCTTTCGCATCTTTCCCAGGATGCTCCACACCACAAAACTGTTGCCGGGGACCCCCACCGCCAGAGCCACTGACAGTAGGGTGATAGCCATGACACCTAGGGAGGAGGGTCCTGCAGGAGATGTAGTGTTCGTGGCCATTGCAAGGATCTGGAGGGTGAGGTGGACATGTGCATGAGGGTAGGGATCCAAGGGCTTTCTGGCACCCTGGACACACCTAGCCTGAGTAGTCAGGTCTTTCTCTAAATCGGCAGCATCAGGTGCACCTTCACAATATACTGTCCTCGTCACGGCCCACTAACCTGTCTTAGGGATCTGGCTGAGTAGAAAGAAAAATTGCCTAACTGAGCGACAGCTCCTTCCTGCCCACAGACCCAATTGCAAAATACAAAGCAACAGCGGCAGTAGCGTGTCCGGACCCTTTCTGCCTCTCCCTTAGGAGACCCTCAGATTCAGAGCCAAACTGGGGAGATTTCCTTCTCAGTGCGGCACCCCTTAAAAGGCTAACTGCTCTGTCCCTTGCCAAGTTCTTAGTCCCCTCAGTCCCACTGGTGTCCTCCAATCCCCTACCCACTCTCCCAGAGATGTCCAGGGTCCACCAGGAATAACAGGGATGGGCAGGAGTCCATGGAGAGGAGAGAAGGACAAATCCTCCCAAGTCCTTTTACCACTGGTCAGGCTCTTTTGGAAATTCCTTTGTACCTTCTCTCATGGCTGCACCCCACCCCTCCACCAAATCCCCTACTCCCAGGGTCTTACTTACTGGCTTTGCTGGGTACTGGTTGGAAGCTGGCGCCAATCCCAGGGTCAGGGCAGAGTGGTGTAGCCTATCCCCAGATCTGTCTCGGTGCCAGGGGTCTGGACCCAGGTCTGGATGCTGTCAGCTAAGTCAGCCGGAGAGGAAGTACCACAGGGCAGGGGGAAGACACATCTTCCTGAGGGTGGGGCTGAAACTCCTACCCGCTCCCTTCCCTTCAGTAGGAGGGAGGATAGTCTTTGTATTCTAGAAAAGGCCAGTAGGAAGGAGGACCCTCAGGGGTGGGACCAGATGAGAAGCACCCAAGAAGGGGAAGGGAGAGGGGAAAGAGGGGTGCAGGAGTGAGTAGGCTGGGGTGTGGCCTCATATGCAGGTCTAGACTGGATCATTGAACAGAATAATAACCTGTGTCATATAGGAGGAGGAGGGAGGGAAGCCAGAATGGGGATTTGGCTCGGATTGGGACGGCAGAATGTTGAGTATATTTATACAGTAATTTGTATGAACAAGTAGATTTTTAGAGTAATAGGAAATGTAGGTTACAGCTGTGGTTAGGTTCCAGGTTTGGGTTGTAACATCATGACTTAAAGAGGTCAGCACCTTGTTCTTGGCTTGGGTTCAAGCCATGAGTGGAGTTGGAGGGAGAAGTTCCTCTTCCAGCACCCCAATCACTCCCTTCACTGAAAAGGGTTGGTTCCATTCTAGGGCAATCAAATTTCCCTTCTCTTGGCAGAAGCCAAAGCCCAAAGGGTCTCCTTAGTCTCACACAGAATGCCAGTTTCTTCCCCTTCCCCCAACCATTTGCCTTGTGCTTGCCCATGTGGCTACCCTGACACATGAGTTTGGATTTAAGATCTGGGCACTGGGCAAGGTCAGAACTGCCTTTTTCCAACCTCCCCACAGCCACTGTCCAGTCTCACCGTATAGAAGTAGAGGCTGAGCACAGGGAACAGGCATGAGGGAGTGAGGGAGATGGTGCTTCACGCCTGCCCTGCCAAGAGGGGAAACCTGGGCCATGGCAAGGGTCACTCTTCCCTTTTCTCCTCTTCTTGAACTCTCTGGCAGAAGCTAAGAACTGAAAAGTCTTTCCTTTGATCTGACCATGAGCCTTCCTGCTTTCCTTCCAACTCTGTCACTCTCAGGAAATGTGCAGAGTGTAACAGTGGTCACGGAAGTCCCTCACCCTTTGCAGTGCCCCCACTTTGTCTGCTCTGAGAAAAGCCAGAGCAGAGTTCACCCAGTAGCTGTCAGGCAGAGGATATGACGAAAAGAAATGGACTGAAACCACAGCAAGCCGGCAGAGTTGAGGAAGGGCTTTCTGACCACAGAGGGTGTGTGAGTCGGGAAATATGTAACAGAGGAAGTCAGAGACCCTCTTCCCCCATGCGTGAGGACAAGAGGAAGCCTCTGCAAGAAGCTCTAGGGTCAATCAGAGGCTCCTTCTGACACAAACTGGACTGTCTTTGCCTCCTCTCCCAAGCTGCTCCCCATTTCCATTTCTGTCAGTGACCTTCCTTCTTCCACTCTAGACTAGACACTCTAAGCATACCTGTCTCCCAAGTCCAGAGCTCCAACCCCAACCCAACCCGTTTTGGTGGCCCTGGCGTGACACTGAGGACTGGGTTTCCTTTGCTATGTCTGCATCTACCTGGGTGGTGTGAACAGTCACTAAGGCAGAACAAGGGGTAACAGTCAGGTTGACCAGAACCTAACAACCATCTTGGTTTGCCAGGGACTTAGGAGACCGGGATAAAAGGCTGCCACTGCTAAAACCGCGAGTTGGTCACCCTAGTAACCACATGTGTGTGCACATGGATGTCATCCTAAAAAGAATTCCATCCTGCACCCAAATTCAAAAGTATCAGGATCCAAAAAAACACACAAAAGTATCAGGATCCAGAACAGTTTTCCGGCCTAGAGGTAAAGAAATTCCAAAAGACGGGGTCTGGGAAATATCGGGGAGGACAGATGAGGAACAGCTAGCCGTCAGGAGGAGTCAAGATTTGGCAGAGAGGAAAAGGAGAAAGGAGAGGTGGTACCTCCCTGAAAATTCTTCCTGTCCTCCAGACACCCACACTCTTCCTCATACTCCCTCATCTCCAAGCCCCAAACGTCCTCTGGCTAAGTGAGTGCCTGCTCCTGGGCTCCTTTTGAGTCAGGTGACCTTGGGTGGGGGCTGGGGGGAGTTGGATTCAAAGAGGAAGCTTAGTCTCAGACTCCCAGGGTCCCTCCCCCGCTGCACCAACCACAAGGCAGACAGGAAAACTCTCCTTTCAATCCCACAGATTGACTTTCACCTGCCAGGGCCAGTCTCCCCACCCCCACCCCCTTCTTGGCTCTTATAGACCCCAGAGAACGGATCCCATCCGCAGCCCACACCCAAGCACCCATACCTTTCTTTCCTCTTTCTCCCTTGATTTACAGAGTGGTTGTATGGCCTGAGGGAAGTAGGCCACCTGAGCTGGAGGATGGGTCAAGATGCCACTGAAGGCTGCCGCTGCCCAGCCATCCTGACCCCGCAGGGAAACCAGGTGACTTCAGTACACCTCAGGCATGCTGACCCTCGGGAGAGCACACTTAAGCCATGGTGTAACGGCTGCACGGGTCTTTCACAATGACTATTGGCAACAAATTAGCAGCTCTGGCACATGGGCACATGCCAACCTGCAAGTGCACAATATTCATTAGCATGAACCATCACCCCTGGCAATCCCTCAGTTTGGAGGAACCTGGGCCTGCCCCAGGTGCATAATTCTGCCCCCACAGTTCCAAACCGGTCAGAGGCTTCCCAAACGCTATCGAGTGCTCTCTGAGTTCTGAGGGGTGATGGAAGGGGACAGGGAAGAGCAGGATTTGGTGTCACGGGCCCCATTCCTGACTGTCCTTGGCCGCCCCGCCCCCGGGGTCTCCGTTGCCCAGGCCCAGCCCCACCACTCTGAGCCGAGGGGTAGTTCGGAGCTCCATGGTCCCCTCCCTGGAGCGGCCGCCTCCTCGGGCCTCCCCAGAGCCCTCGAAAAGCCGCGTGAGGAACCGGGGACCCGCGCGGGGCAGCAGATCCCCCGCGGTGAAGAGGTAGAGCACTGGGTTGACGCTGGAGCTGAAGAAGGCCAGAGCCGTGGTTCCGGCTCGCGCCGCCTGGCTCGCACCGCCCTGCTTCGCCAGGGCCCCTTCGGGGGGCGCCATCGCAGCCATCGCCTGCACAATGTTGACCATGTGGTAGGGGGCCCAGAGCAAGCCGAAGGCCAGCACGATGGCGCTCACCAGCCGGCCCACCCGCGTGCCTTTCCGGCCGGAGCCCCAGCGGGCGCCCCGCAGCCGCGCCAGAGTCACGCTGTAGCAGCCGAGCACCAGCCCGAAGGGCAGCACGAAAGCGGTCAGAGTCTCCAGGCTCAGGTGGACGGCGGCGTGGGCCCGCGACGGGTGGCACAGCTGGCACAGGCTGTCCCCCCAGAGGTGGCGGCCAGCCGGCCCACCCGCGTGCCTTTCCGGCCGGAGCCCCAGCGGGCGCCCCGCAGCCGCGCCAGAGTCACGCTGTAGCAGCCGAGCACCAGCCCGAAGGGCAGCACGAAAGCGGTCAGAGTCTCCAGGCTCAGGTGGACGGCGGCGTGGGCCCGCGACGGGTGGCACAGCTGGCACAGGCTGTCCCCCCAGAGGTGGCGGGG